GTGTACCCCACCCTGCAGCCCCCTGAGGCTGGAGCCCCCACCTGACCCCCAGTAATACAGAGGGCTGGGGTGGTCAGGAGAGCGACCCATGCCAGGGCCATGTATGGTGCACCCTCTGCACCCCGGATGTCAGGATGTAGGTCTGATCTAGCCCTGGGTGGGGCAGGACAGGATGGGTGGCTGGGGGTGGGGTTGCAGGGGTGGGGAGACTCAGAGAGAGAGCTTGGGGAGCCTGGACAAGGGACAGTGTCCCTGCCAACATGACCAAGGGTGTGAGCAGGTGGCTATGCAGGGGCCCCCAGCCCTGCACCCCAAGGGGGCCACAGGTGAGTCAAGATAGTGATCCTCACTGCCCTAGGCTGGATGGGCCCTGTCAGGAAGCCCCAGGCACGTCCAGATCTCCTGTTGAAGGCATTTTCTGAAGTGTCAGGGTGTCAAGAGGTGTTTGGAACACAAGAGGGGGGCATTAGAGGAGGGCCCACAGGGGTGGGGTGGGGACACCCAGCGGTCACTGGCAGGGACGTGTCCACCCGGTACCAGGGAGGTGGTCACATGTGAAGGTTGCTCAAGATGACCAGGCTCTGTGGGCCCTGGGCCAGCGGCTCTCAGGAGGGGCTGTCTTAGAACCCAGCAAGCCACAGGCCAAACGCACAGGAAAATCTCACCAGGAAACTGTGTCCCTGAGGCCCCAGTGTCCGTGGAGCTGCCACCAGGGGAGGCGCTCCTGTCTCATAGTGACCCTGAGTCCTAGGCAACCACAAGGTTGCCACCACAAGGCCACCACAGCAGCTGCCTGGTGCATTTCCATGCTGGCGAACAGAGAAGCAAATGCAGACCCCCGTGGCCACGTCACTCCTTGCTCACCCTGCTCAAATACCTGAGCCACGCAACTGGGACCAGGGCTCCAGGAAGGACTGGGCCCTCTGCTCAAGTCCCTCCACCCCTGTATGGCAAAGCTGACACATGTGAGCCTCCTTGTATCATCCTTCCCACCTCCTCCCGCCCTGGGGTGTCGGGCAGGAGTCACTGGCTGTGGCCGGGGCTCAGCTAGAGGGGCCTGGCTGCTCTGACCTCCAGGGTCCCCTCCTTGGGCAGCACCTGGCCTGGAGCTAGATGGGAAGTAGATGGGGATCTGTGGGTGGCCCTGTCGCTGCTCCTGTGGCCCAGGCTATGGCCTGAATGTGCTGATCAACCCCTGGCAGGTCACGAGGCCTCCTTGACATTTGTGTGGCTCTGTCCAAGTGGCTGTTGGTCAGGTTTCACTCCAGGTGCTGGTCCCCAACCCTGTGGGCCAGGAGCAGCCAGCCAGGTGACTTTGAGGTACACTCACCACAGGTTGCAGGGAGTGAGGGGCCACAGGACAGGGCTCACTGCAAGAGGGGAGGCCCCTGAAAGGGGCTGTCATACACCTGGGGACAGTGGCCCTGGCTCTTGCCCTGGTTCTTTCCCAGCTGAGTGTGCCCAGGGCTGGTCCACTTCCTCTGGCCTCAGTTTCCTATCTGTCAGTGAAGGCAGCTGGTTGTGTCAGTTAGACAAGCCAGTGAAGATGGGAGACGCTGTCCCTGCAAATTTCTGTACTGGGTAAATGGTGCCCTCCCCCAAGTTTAAATCTACCCAGAACCCCTGAATGTGGCCCTGTTTGGAAGAAGGGCCTAAGAGCTGACTAAGGGGCGGCTCGGGGGATGAGGTAATCCTGGATCGGGTGGCTCCAGAGTCCCCATGAGAGAAGAGGGCAGCAGGCACAGACACGCACGGGGGAGGCTGGGATGCCATGCTGTGCAGTGTCACCAGCAGCTGGCGGGCACAGAGCGGGCACCCGCGGAGCTGCTGAGGAACCGCCAGCCACAGCTTGATCTCCCACTTCTGACCCCAGAAGACAGCAGAGGGCTGTGGCTGAAGCTGCCCATCTATTGGCAGTCACAGGCGTGGAGTCAGACACCAGGGGTTCGACACACAGCCCCGACACCCCCGCTGTCCCACGGCTCCAAACCCGGCCTCTTGGGTCCCGGGGAAAGGGTCTGAACCCCAGATTAGGGTGGGGCCCTGAGCTGGGTCTGGACCATCACCCGCTGGGGTGGGGTGGGGTGCAGTGGTCAGGCTGGTCAAGTGATCACTGCCAGGAGCTGTAGACTCCTATTAGCATGAGCACCCGGAGGGCAGGGTGACCTGGAGGGTGGGCGGCCCCACCGGGGTGCCTCACCGGGGGAGGCTTTCGCAAGGAAGAGCATCCAGTCTCCCCGTGACTTGTCTCCTGTCCTGAGCAGCAGGAGTCAGAGACGGGGTAGGGGCTGCAGGGACACAGGAGGGCCCTCGCAGCTCAGCTCAAGCCTGGCTCTTTGCACCCAGGAACGAGTTTGGCTCAGCCCTGGCTCCCTGGAGCACAGTGAAGAGAGGACAGAAGCTGCTGTATTTGTCCCCTTCTGGCAGCTGTGTTCCTACTCATTAAGGCCCTTTGAGGTCCTTTCATCTCAGTGAAATTGCAGGGCTCCTGCAAGGCCCTCAATTAGCTGGATCCTCTGGTGGCCCCAGGGTGACCAGCCTGCTGCTCCGAAGCCTCAGGGAGCCCAACGGGGGAGAGACAATCCCAGCTGCCACTCCCCAGGCTGGGAGCCTGACCCTGGGTGTGAGCATCATGGAATTGGCTTTAAAAACAGCGTGGTAGGGAGAAGGACTCAGCAGCCGGCTGAACGTGCAGCCTGGCTCTCCCCCGGGACGCCTCTCGCTCCCCCAGAGCTGTGATGTCCCCATGCTCCGCACAGCTGCCAAGGGCCGGCCCCTCCTGCCAGCTCGGCACTGACGCAAATCAAAAGCCTGCAGCTCTTGGAGCAGTGGCCACCCGCCGCTCCACTGGCAGCTGAGGTCTGTGAAGGGAGGGTTCGGGCTGCGGTGCCCGCTGGCCTTTGAGATAGTCAGCTGCGCACTACAGGGTGGCCAGCGTGGTGACAGAGGTCAAGGAGACAGCTGCCCTTGTAGCTCCCCTCTGCCTCGGGGAGCTGCTGGCCAGCCCCTGCCCTGTTGCCCTGTCCCCAGAGGGCCTGGGGTCCTTTGGTTCCGTCACCGTTATTCAGCCAGCATGGCAGGAAGGTGGGCTGGGTGGACCCGCGAGCCATTCCAGGGGTGTGAGGATGACGTGGGGTGGGGGAGAGGCAGCCCCTGAGGGGCGCTGAGCAGGACCTGTGCCCTGCACACAGCCTGGCCTCCGGGGCCCCGAGGCCTTTCAGAAGACCCTGGGAGCCAGCCACACAAGCACACTGGAGGGCCCCTGGAGGAGTGAGCTTTCTGAGACCTACCCTGCCAGCCCGCGGGAGCCTTCTGATCTTCCCAAATGTGCACACACGTGTGCACATGCATACACACACAGCACGTCACACACCTGTGCACAAGGGCCCCATGCACACAGGCGCAGCCATGCAAGCACAGCACACACACAGGTGTATCTGTGCATACACAGCACTTGTGTACACATGTGACCCACATATGAAGCACTCACACATACAGCTCACACGAGCACAACACACATGCATGCACACACACACGTGTACAGTATACACACATGCGCATGCACACCTACAGAGATTTCACACAAGCACACGTCATAGACACAACAGGTGAGACCACTTGCTGCTCAACACAAGGGTGCCCTCCCATCCCTCCCCAGCACACACACACTGACACTTAGGACCCCAGCCCTCTGCCTCATACGCTGTGGACACGGAACAGCAGGGTGTCCAGGGGCTGAGAATATTCATCAGGGGCAGCTGCTCTGGGCTGGAGGACAAGGCAATGGCACGAGGCCCCAAGAGAACCCACGGGGCTACTTGTCCATTGCAGCAAACAGCCAACACGCAGGGGACCTGACAGCCGTGACCAGGACACGGGCATGTGGAGAAAACCTCTCTGCCTACATAGCCCAAGTGCACCTGCCGTGTCCGAGCCAGGTCGGGTGGGAGGATCCAGGATCCCAGAACCCGCAGCTGGGAGCTCTGGGGCTCTGCGGGCCGCCCTGAGGACAGGATCCTGGGCTAAGCACCCTCTGCAGTGCAGCCTGCTCGTTCCTGCTTCTCCCTGGTGCCAGTTACCTTCTGGCGTGCAGCAGGGAGCCTCTGCCCTTTCCCTCCTGTCCCCCATGGCTCGTCCTGTCCAGGCCCTGGGGTGAGACACTGCTGCGTACCATGCAGACACCAACCTCTCAGGGATAGCCCTCCTAAGGTCACCAGGGTGTCATGCAATCAGCAGGTGCTTTTCTAGGTGGGGCTAGGAGCTGGTGGGGTGCCTGGGGAAAGATCCGGAACAGTGTGGCAGGTTGCAGCATGCTCAGAAGGAAAGCGAACCTCCTACTGTAAGGACCCAACAGGCTGTGCTCGTGGCTGGGTCGGCCACAGCAGCTGGTATTTCTCAGGGTCCACTGGGGTGCCTGGCCTGCCTCTTGGGTTGGGGTTGTTGCCTGCGTGCTCCCCAGACAGCCCATATCCTGGGGCCTCCCACTGCACAGCAGGCCCTGGGAAGCCTGAGGGGCTCTCTGGGGAGCCCCTCCTCATGTGGCTCCTTCTCCTGCTGCTCCTGCTCCTGGAGTCAGCCTTGGGGTGTGTGTGGGTTTCACGAGAATACCCTAACTCACTGGCACAGGCTGCCTCTTCCAGTGTGCAGTGCTGATGGGCATGGTCCCCGTGGGGCCAGCCAGGCAGCCAGTGCCGGTTTCTGCCCCAGGCAGAGCAGAGGTCCGAGAGTCACGGGGTGGGGGAGGGTTCCATCCCACTCATAGGCGTCTGTTGGCATGGGCTAAGCAAGCGCTGCCTCCCCAAGGGCCTGCTCCTCCGTACAGGAAGTGGAGACCCGCAGCCTGAGCCTGCTCATGCCCAGACAGAGCGGAGTGTTCCAGCTCCCTGTGGCTGATCAGGCCAAAGCAGCCAACACTCCTGACTCGCTGCCCACTCCAGCAGCCAGAGGCCAGCGCCCGAGTCAATATTCACACACTTTGATCTGCCCTTCAGTTTATAAGACATAATATTTGCTCTTCTATTAGGAAAATAATCAGGAGTTATCCGTTAAGGGGTGTGTACACATGGCTGCCCTTCAGAGGCGAAGGCTGCCCTTTCTAGGCAGTGTGAGTTAAAGCCCTGGCCCTCCTGGGACTCTGAACAGCAAACCCAGCCCACAGCTTGCCTCAGTGCCCACAGGGAAGCAGCTGGGATTGGCAGAGGGGCTAGGGGGAGGCGGCTCTGGACTACCAGGCACTGCACAGCTGTATCCCAGGCTGGGTGACCCTGAGCCCTTTCTGGGTCCCACACTGTCACACGGCCTGGGTGGAGAGGTGGTTACACAGCAGGGCGACAGACCTGTGATTTGGCAAAGCCCTGCCTGTGGGTCTCAGCTCTGATCCCTGCCGGACGAGACCTTGGGCAGCGGGCACAGCTCTCCAGGCCTCAGCGCTTCCGCCTCTACTGGGCAGTCTGGGCCCTCTCTCACCGCAGCTGCCCCCAGGTTGGAGTGGGGGAGCAGCTGGCTCCTACCAGCTGTGGTGGCCACAGGCCCTCTCCCAGCCCTGCCTGGGGGGACCCTCGCCTTGGCATCTCCAAGCTGGCCACGATGGGATGTTTACAGCACAGGGCAGGGCACGGTCACTGCTGTGCTCTGCCAGCCGCCTCTCCAGCCCGTCCCTGTCCCCACACCTGGGCTGCAGTGAGGATCATGTGAGTACAGGCCCAGGGCAGGATCCTGATACGAGAGTCACACAGCACCCTGGCAAACTCAGGGCTGGCTGAATAGGTGACAGTGCACCCGACCCTCCAGTCCCTGCCACCTGAGTGGGTCCCTCTGGGTCCCTGCAGGAGACCAGCCCCTCCTCACAGGCTCCTGTCTGGACACCCCCAGAAGGCCACACTGCAGCTGCCACCTCCTTGGTGACATCCAGGGCCCGGAGGAGAGGGCTTCTCTTACACATCCCCTGGGCCTCCCCAACCTAGCACACACGTTTCTGGGGCTCCCAGGCCCTGCTGAGCCCCTGGGGAATAGGCAGTGGGGCTGAAATCCTGTGCCCTCCCATGGACGTGGCTGTGGTCTGGTGCCGGGGCAGGAGGAAGGAGGTCCCAGCCCCGAAATCTCCTCTGGGCCTGAGGCTTCAGCCCTGGGACCCCAGCTTCCCCGATTCTGAAGAATTTTGAGACCCCTGTTCCTAGCTGAGCTGGTGTGGGGTGGCTTCTGCCTGCTTCACAGGAAGGGCAGTTATGTGTTTGTTTTGGGCAGCAGAAAGGATTAGGCAACCAGAGTGGGCCAGGAGTGGGGCACGTGGCCAATCCCGTGTCAGCCCCGTGCCCCAGGGAGAACCAGCACAGACCAGAGGACACTGAGAGGACACTCGCAGGCCGGGTCACACGCAGGGTGTGCTCTGTGCTTGTGCCCCCTGCCCAAGCCTCCCGCCTCCTTCCCTCGTTTCTGCCTCCTCCTTCCTTGTGAGCAGCGGCCTGGTCTGGCCCGCCTGGCCCGTCCCAGCCTGTCCCAGCCACCTTTCTTGCTTCCCCTTGGTCTCCAGTGTGCTCCCTGAACCTGGCTCAAGGCTCCCCAACTTTCTGCCAGAGGGCATTGGAGGAGGGCCTGCCAAGGGGAGACCCGAGGGAGGACGTGGGTCCCACAGCACCAGTGAGGCACGCGCAACCCAGGAATGGAAGTTCCCCGGGTGGACGGCGTGTGCCAGATTTGCCTCTAACACAGAGGAGGAGGAGCTGCCCCCCGGGAGCACCAGGAGGCAAGCGCCAGCAGGACCAGCTCCTCCCCGCTGACCCGGCCCCTCTTCCAGGAAGGGTGGCAACTGGGCTCCATGCTCCTGCACTCCAGGCGGGCTTCGGCAGACATTCGAGGGGAAGCCCTGAGACAGGGTGTCCTCACCAGGCAGGGTAGAAGGAACAGAGGTAGGTAGGAGGGAGACAAGGAAAACTGGAAATTTAAAATTGAACTAAAAAAAAATAGTGCAGCTTCAGGACACAGAGTTACTGAAGCCTTTTTCCCTTCCAGGAAATGCACTAAAAAAAAAAAAAAATCTCCCTGGGGTCTTCAGACACAGCGACCCTGTGACTTGGGCTCTGGGCCGAGCTTTGCACCTGTGAGCGGCGCTTCCTCCTGCAGACTCCGCCCTGCAGGAAGCAGCAGCAGGAGCAGGCAGCGGATCTCAGCTTCACACAGGGAAACGGTTTGCAGGTTTGCACTGCGACACAGCCACCGGGTGGGTGACTGACGGACAGCAGAACACAGACCCCAGATCGCCCATCCCGAAGACACCCAAGCCCCGTAAATACATCAGGCTCCGGTCATAAGGAGCCCCCCTCCCTTGAGGGCCCACACTCTATTTCTTTGAGCGTGTACTTTACATTTCTGCCTAATAAATCCCTTTATGCTGCTTACTGATGCTTCTGAAAATTCCTTTTTTGCAACAAGTCAGTGAACCTGCAACTTAATTTTGTGAGTAGAATGGGTTAAAGAACCCCCAGGACCCTGTCCAGTGACACTCATCCCACTGCCCAGTGCTCCCAGATCCCACTCAGTGGGTTCACAGCTGTCAGGACCAGCAGTCTATCTTGGGGGACCCACAGGCTCTTGGGGCCTGAGCTGATGAGAAGGAGCTGCCAGCAGTGATCTTGGACGGGCCCTTTGCTTCCCAAGGGACTGGTGTGGCCCCCAACCCAGGCTCAGGGCTGGGGCCCCAGAGCCCAGGCAGGGCAGCCCCCACACCTACAGAGCACCTTCCAGGGAAGCACCACTGAGCGTGTGTCTGGGACGCAGGCATTGAGGCCGACCTTCGCTGAAGCAGCGCCCCTCCACCCTCCAGGAGAGGACTGGGCCCCCTGCCAGGCCCTCTGGAAGCACCTAGGAGTTGAAGTCCTTTGGGCTCCTTTCTTCTGGAGCATCACTGCAGGCAACACCCCAGGGCCTGACGCTGTAGACAGGGGACAGGTGGGGACACACGGTGGGCGGCTTCCTTCCAGGCAGGGACCCCAGGGCACGAGAATCCCAGGACATCAGCCAAGAAGCCTGCAGACCAGCGGGGACACCGGACTTCAGTGCCCAGTGCCCACTCCTGAGGGTCATTGGGTTTCTCACTAGGTTCGCAGCACCCCTTGGGGGCCAGTGAGCACGGTTGGCTCAGCTTGGGTCCGGCTGCGGCTTGTCACACTCCCAGGGTGACTGATGTGTGGGAAGGGGACACGCTGACCTTGCCTGGCTCCATGGCAAACTGCTTCTGGAAGGGGCCCAGGTCTGTGTCCAGCACCAGGCAGCACAGGTCACCGTGAGTGGCCGGGCGGGGCTTGTGACAATTAAACTGCGATACTGCCCGAGCTGGGGGCTCTGTGCGACTTCTGTGTCACCAGACAGTGTTCTTTGTTCTCAGCCATTTAGGAATTAAAACCATGCTCAGCTGTGGCTCAGATGGGGCCTGGCCTGTTTAGCCCTCAGCCGTGGGTGCCGCCCGGATGCTCCTAATGTCCCCGATTTGTATGAAAAGGCGGAGCACGAAGGGACTCAGAGCCCCTGTGACCCTGGGCCTGGACCACAGCTCCCGTCCCCACCCTCAGGGCCAGCACCTGGGGCCCTGGGACCATGGGGGACCCTGGCAGCAGTGTCGGCCGGCCTCGAAGCCTCCCTGGCATCCTTTCTTTGGGGATCAGGCACAGCTGGCTCTGGTTCTGGGGTGCACTCATCTCCAAGCCCAGACCATGACTGTGGGATGCGAGATGCCCTAGGCTGGACAGGCTGACCCTGCACCTGTGGTCCTGCCCGGGAGTGGGAGCCAGGGAGAACCACGGGCCTCGCTCCTCGGGGACCTCGGACCAGGACCACCATGTAGGCCTTGGGGTGCTGTGGCCAGTCCCTCCCCAGGCCCAGAGGGTCCCCCTGCAGGAGGAAGGGAATGGGTAGGAGGCCAGACCTGGGGTCTCTGGAGGCCGGGAGGCCCAGTAAGCTCCTTTGCTTAAAGTTACTTCGTCTCCTTCAACCCTCAAAATCTCCAAGCCCCATGTCTTGGAATCCCCCTTGGTATTGAAGAGACGCTGAAGCCAGGGGTGTGGTACACGCCTGTAATCCCAGCACTCTGGGCCCCCGAGACAGGAGGGTGACAAGTTCTAGCCCAACCCGGGAAACTTAGTGAAACCTTGTCTCAAAATTGAAGATGATAAGAGCTGAGGATGTGGTTTAGTGCAAAGGCCCTGGAATCAATCCCAGAACAGAGAGAGAGGGAGAGGGAGAGAGACTGAGAGGGGCCACATGGAGAATGTAGCCAGGCTTGCAGCAAACGTAGCTCCTGGCAGCTCCGGGACAGACCCCAGTGCTTAGTGAAACCACAGAGCCACTGCCCTGGAGGTGGCGGCAGAGGGGCAGGTGGTGAGGATGGCACTGGACCCCCAGGACGGCAGTGACCCACCAGCCCTGCCGACCTTCTCTCTCCCAGCAGACCCCAGCTCCTGTTGGTGGCCTTGCTTCCTGTGAGGTGATCAGGAGGTGATGACAGCATCCACCCGGGAGGAGCCCCTTCCCTGTCTCTGCCACTGCGATTCACAGCCCGGATCTGCTCTTGGACCCCCAGGGTGCCTGGGCCATGAGGTCCCTGACCACAGTGGGCCTGAGGGGTCAGCAGTTATGCTGGAATAGTCCTAAGGCTCAAGGCTGTCAGAGGCTGCCACATGTGATAAAAATCCCCAAATGTCACAGGACAGAGAACTTCTCTAACCCTCCCATTTACCCTGCCTGCCACTACTGAAACACAGTCATTCCATGGCCATAAATGCAAGGCTATCCTGCTGGAAGTCATAAACCTTCTACCAGCGGTGGAGACGTCTTCCGGCAAGCGGCTCCGGTGAAGGCATGGACAGCCGATCGGTAACTTGAGGGGAGCACAGAGCTCAGGTGGACCCATTCTCCTTGTCCCCAGCGCTGAGGGTACAGGGCCACCAGCACCTCCAGAGGCCATGCTGTAGTTTCTGACCCAGAGTAGAGAGGCCACCCTCTGCCACCTGCCGTGACCCCCACTTGAGGACGGGCTCCTCTCATTCTGGTGGCCTCAGTGAAGACAGAATTGCAGGCAAAGGAATGAAAGCAGAGGGTGGCCTCCCTCACCCTCTCTGGGTAAACTGAGGCAATGCAGGGAAGTTCTGGGCTTTACATGGCACTGCTGACTTGGGTTCAGGGGCTCGGGTGAATTTTCAAGATGGGATAAAGCTAAACTTGGCCAAAATGTGCACTTGAATTGAGACCTTTCATCAGTTGGCAGGCGGGGAGTGGTTTCACTGCCTGCTGCGCAAGTGCAGGGACCCAAGTTCGATCCTCGGTACCAAAAAAAAAAGCACTTCTTATACCAGTCGGCCTATAAAGACTGAAATGGAAATGTTTTCCACCTAGGTAGTAAAACCTCAGCCAGGAAAAGCCCATATTCATGTCTGATTCTGACACATCCTACGGTGTCTAACATGAAGATAAATGCAGCAAATCTGCCTTTCAGTGTTCCTAGCTAAGTCCTCCCTAAGATCATTGCTCTACACTTGAATGGCTTACAATAAGCTTGGGTAAAATCAAGCTGAATTCAGGAATGCAGTGCTTCAAATATCTCCTTAATTCTTTTCTCTTTCTTTTTTTAAAAAAAAATTTCATTTTTTTTTTTTTTTGTTTTGTACTGGGGATTGAACTCAGGACCTTGAGCTTACAAGGCAGGCACATTGCCACTGAGCTAAATCCCTGGCCCTTTTTTTCTTTTTACACTGAAAGGCACCCAGAACTTGGAGGCAGAAAGCAAACTTTATTACATCGAGGGGCCTTGTCAGGATAGTTCCTCAAAGAACCAGGCCTACCTCCTTAATTCTTAACTCTGGGTTTTTGAGAAAACTGTACCTCGTTATTATTCATTATGTTGCTGTCACATGACTGCTCTTTGTATTTTATTTTTATTTTTTGGTACTGGGGATCGAACTCAGGTCCTTGAGCTTGCAAGGCAGGCGGCAGAACCACTGAGCTAAATCCCCGGCCCATGTTTTTTTAAATATAGGATAAACTGTTCACATGTTTGGGGCCTCAAACTGTGTCTACTAGTCAAAAATTGTAAAATGTGTCCAAAAAAACACGTTTTATTGTTTGTTTGTTTGTTTTTTTAAAAAAAAAAACATGGTAGAGCACTAGTCTGGTGTACACAAGGCCCTGGGTTTTGTGTGTAGAAACACACACACTCACACACACACTCCCCTCCTGGCTTCTGGAAGGGCCCTCTCTACACCCAGCTGTGGGGGCGGGCAAGGTGACCATTTTCAAACTTGGTTGTGGCCCCTGAGGTGGTGTGCGTCCTGCCTGCACAGTGTGCACTTGGGACACCTCCAGAGGCCAGACCTAGGTGCTGCTTGAGGAGAGGAATCGAGGCAGCTATTAAAATCATAAACCGCAGACCTGGAAGCCCAGGCTGGCTCCTTGTTCTCGGCTGCTTGCTGGACTTGTGGAATATTCTGGAAACGCTGATAGGTGGAAGCCATTGGCCTGGGAACACAGGCTGTGCACAGCAGAGTAAAGAAGATCATTTAATGTTTGCTTTTTAGGTTCTGCGTTAAGGTTGTCTCACATCATCGTTTTTACTACACATATGCAAGGGTGTTTGGGTCTCTGTTTTGGCCTTGAATCAAATCAATTTGCAAAAGTGTGTCACATTTCCATAATTCCTAATGCAGCCCACCTGCAGTTCAGTAATGGTTTAAGGCCCCTGGGCAAACTGTCGCTGGAAGCCTGGAGCAGGAGGTCCCCGGGTCACCTTTGCACCCCAAATTCGCTTCTCTCCCCTTCCCCTCCCTACCTCCCCGGGTCTCCCCCTCCTCTCTGCCACATACAGCAGGAGTGGGCGTACATAGGTGCACACACACACACACACACACACACACACACGCTCCCTCTCTGCCCCACTGTGGGAGGCCTGTCAGCAGGGACCTTTGGGGACAGCACCGAGAGCAGCAGGACAGAGTCAGCCCCTGCACCAGCTGCAGTGTCATGAGCACCCTGAGCGGCCTGCTGGGTCAGACGGAGGCAGAAGAGGCCCAGGCCCTGGGGTGCGGGTACCCCCCGCCCTGGGAGGGAGCATGGGCCTTGGGGGAGGGGACCAGCTGCCCCGGTTTGCCCCACAGAGGGGACGTGGGACTTCAGTAGGGACTGGACCCAGGCTTTTGCTCTCTCTTACATCCTCAGCCCTTTCTTATTTTTAGTTTGAGACAGGGTCTTGCTGAGTCACTAAGTTATCCAGGCTGGGTTAGAATCCCCTTGCCTCAGCCTCCCAGGTGATGGGGTTATGGGTTTGTGCCACTGTGCCTGCATTATGGTGTGGGACTTAATGCAGACCGGGGATCCTGGGCAAACCCAAAATGTGGGGGGGGAGGGATCTGGG